ATAAGCATAGCAGTTCACCTTCTAACCTAGCCTTTAGGTGGAAGATGAAATATTATTGAGACATTAAGAACTGCACCTGAAGTTAAAGTCTACAAATATAACTTTAGAAACTTTAACTTATAACTTACAGGTGGTAAGCACTTCACTTCCTGAAATTAATACCTCAAAGATCCTTGTTTTCTTGTGATGGTAGCTGTGCTGGATGCAGAAGACCAGTTACAAGCTTTGCCTAGATGATGATCAACACTGATATGCCAATGCATAAACTGTGTTCTGTATCCTTAAATCACTTGCAGTAAATGGCAATTCCTTTTGCATTAATTATAAGCAATGTCTCACAGAGCCCCCCACCCCAAAGCAAATACTGTATTTTAGTTTTATAACAAATATTAAATTTTATCCATTAACCTGACTGCTACAAAACAAATCTAAAAACGCAGCTAGTGATACGAGCAGCCTAATAAGATTGCAATCATTAGGCCACCTACTCTATTACAATCATTCTGAATTGTATGATGTGTTGCAATTGAACTATGGCACACTCCCTTCATGTAGTCCACAGATAAAATACACACTCCCCAGGAGGGTCTGAAACCAGCTGCCCAAGATTCACAAATCTTATATTCCGAAATATGCTCATGCAACTAACAGGCTGCATGTCCAAGCAGAAAACACGATCAGAGTGCTGGTAATTCAGATCTACAGCATGGGAACACCTCCACATCTGTAAAAAGAGTCACATTAGAAAACAGCACAAACTCCATTAGTTTTGGATTCTGTGGTGTTTGTTTTCCAGGATGCAGTATATCTACATATATATTTTGTGTGAGCATAAAAACTGGCAAACACCAGATCCACTGGAGCGAAAAAGAAGCTCCTACAAATTCTCTTCGTGTATCACAGCCTCCCTCCTAGCTTTCAGTCCAGACGATGCCCTTTTCAAAGGCTGCCCTTTCAGACAGTCACCAAGCAGTGCTATAAAGCAACAGAAGACACACTCCCAGAAATTATATTCTACCGTTTCACCTGCTTAGGTGAATCTGATGGTCACAACAACAGCCTTCCTGCTGGACTGTGCCACATGACAACCTTTCATGATTGCCTGTATTTTATGTTTGCAGCCAGAAGCCACAGATCACAATCCCAATGGATAAAACAATGGACATGTGAAGCTTAAACTTTGCAAAAGAGAAAAAGCACAACAGATTTTGCAAAGCAGAAGAGTGCTTCATTTCATAAACGTCTCTCCCCTAAAAATTTTTGCTATTTTAGCTCAAGATACTTTCCACACATCTTTCTTCACTGATGCACATTTGCTACTGTTTTAGACATTCCTTTCAAGGGCAGAAAACTGGGTATTTAATAACCCCCCAACAAAAACTTCAAATAGCTGTAACTTTTAAATTTGACACTAAAAACTGACAGCATCTGACTGTTCTTCTACAGCACGACAAAGAGTTGAGCACAGACAGCAGAATTTGCTTAGCTCCCATTTTATAAGGACAAGAAGATGAAAATCACCTCTGCATAGCTATAAAAAATGCAAATATAGCAAAAAAGCTTGTCAGTTTGCACTATCAGAAAATAGGCCAAAACCTGAATACATATGAAAACTCGGCTCTCTGTGCTTCTAAGTACAGTCCTTCTAGCTCAAATCACAGGTATGTCAGATGCAAGAGAAGATTTGCTTCCCACCTCTTTCCTAGAGGCAATTGAGAATTTTAATCTTCAACTAATGAATCCTGCTACTAGTAAAAGGTTACACAAAGTAGTAACAGAAAAGCAAGAAGAATTACTGAAGTATAAACCCCAATTATTTTGAATCCTCTGTCACTGCTTATAAATGTTTCATTTCTTATTATAATACACTATTTTTAGTACACTAATTTTTTAGTAATACACTAATACACTAATATTTTAGTAAAGCAAGCTCTACTGTAGGTGGCTGGTGGGTTGGAAAGGTTATTCAAGCGAGATTAAGTGTACTGGCTAAAAAAATGTTGAGACATTTGCCTTTCCTCTCTACCGTATAAACAAAATTCCACATGGGAAAAAAGAAAGCAATTCCCAGCTCTGCTCTGAACAAGCAAAAGAGAAGTAGTGTAACTCTCATTTTAATGTGACACAAATGTGTCTCCTTCCACTCCTTTACAGTGTCCAAAAGTCTTGTGTTGATGGAAGCCTAAAATAAAATTTCTCTTCCAGGACACCAAGTTGAATCTAAACACCATGTAAGACTTATACTGGAGTCAGGGGAACCAAAGGTACCAAAGTGAGTTTGCACACTAGGTAGCTTTTAATGTAATACAAAAACTTATCACACTTGGTTAATAGATTTTTGCACATCTGTTTGGTTACGAGATCCAGGAACTGATCTGTATTAAAGGCAAAGCTAAATGAACATGTAGAATAGCACAGTAAGTCCAAATCTGCATAGAAAAAACATTTGATGCTGAGGAACTGACATCCACACTCTGTATGTAAAGGTGAAACGGGAGGTGTGGTGTCCGGCAAGTTACAGTCTCGATGCATAGACTGAAAGCCTGTTAGCTGTAGGCAGAATACTTTCCTCTTCGCTTTCATCCCAGTTTAATCCAACTCTCAAGCTTAATTTCATGGTGCAAAGCAACACACAGAAGGCAGGTGCAATTAGGAGCTTCACTTCAAAAGCACCTTCCTGACACAACCTATAATGTTAATGTAGATACAGCCGCAACTACCACAATTCTTTCAAGACTGTGAAGGATCTCCAGATGAAAAATTAAGCTTAGAAACCAATCAGCATTTCACATGGAAAAAGTGATCCAGCTCATTTCAACACCAAACCATCCTCTGGGTTCCCGCTTTTATATTTTTTGCTCAGTCACCATGAAGGGCTGTGTGGGGCTTGGTTCCTAACATACCCAAGGGGTAGACATGGGGCTCAGTACAGCCATGTTTAGTAGTAGATGGCAGAGAACAAGATTAAGTACCTATGTGTTTCCACAGATGCAGGTAGAGGGCAGACTGATAAATGAACAACTTGCATATTGCCAGTAGTAAGTAAAAATGTCTATTCTAAACTGCTGAAAGCAGAAGCAAAGCTGTCGTGGCTCTGAGATGCCTTCAGGAGGAACATGGCCCCTAGTCACCCTATGCATTTCTCAGGTTAAAAAGGGACTTCTGCTTTAAGTATCACAATCATTCTCACATCTGATCTTCTTATTAAAAATGGCCCAGACAAATAATATTGTAACCATTTCCCTATGTGTAGTTATTTCCAATTGGCAGGTATGGGGAAATGATACCATGACTTGGAAGAACTAATTCCAAATCATGTTTAGAATAGGTCTACTAAAGTGTTTTTTCTACACTGCAGAAAAGGTCTTTTCATGTGTCACCAGTATTTTCACAATGATATTTCACTGAGCATTCTTCCTTGGTCCAACATTTAACCTACATATAAGAGACTTAAATGAAGCAACAAAGGGCACAAGTCTGCAAAGGCTAGTTATTTAGGCTGTATTTTAAGCAAATTTAAGACTGACTAATCACTCTGGGTGCCTTACTTGAATTACTTGCAAGGGCCCCATTTTCAAAGGACCCGTAAAACAGACCCCTCTCAGGAATCACAAGTTTGGCCAGCCACACTTTGAAGAAAGCCAGTACTGAATATACAGTATTTGCATACATACCCACCTAAAGCAGGAGACCACAAAGAAGTCAGGAACACTTTCCTCTGGTAAGTATTATTAAAAGGGTACAGGCCCTGGGACACTAGTCTTTCATCCAAAAGTAAGTGTAATCGGTAGAAGCACGTATAGAAATTCCCCAGGTAAAAACAAGACAGGCATGATGTACTATATCCAGACAGGACAACCTTTTCTTTTTTATTTGTTAACAGAATTCTAAGTAGGGGTCTCAGAAACATCTTGAGCATTTCACTGCCTTCCAGTGAGCCACTTCAGCTGACAAGAGCGCTGTTGACAGTTTCTTTTCATTCAGAGGGAGTTGACAGCCTAACCTTACACTTTCAGCAAAGCCTAAGTCACATCATTGTGTCATATTACAGTGTGCACCCCAGAAATAGAAGCAATGAGAAACGCCTCATTACTATGCTGTTTTCAAGTAAGGCTTGTGAAATGGGGAAGAGGAAAGGTTTTTGAAAGAAGAAAACATACCTGATCCATTGCCTTTTACTAAAGCTGTTCAGTGAAAATAAGAGGACCTCAGAAATAAAACATTTGCTCTTTGGTCATATTTCAAGTTGTTACCTGTAAGTCATCTAGTCTGGAGGTACCACAGCAAAACAAAACTATATGTCAGATATCCTTTTGCATTCTGGGGGGAAGGAGGAAAAAAACCAAACCAAACCAAAGCCCCCTTCTCCAACACTAACCTCACAATGAATATATTAAAGCTTAACATTAGGGTACGTGTCCACCCAGAAAAGCTCTTTGGCTCCACAGATTTTGCCTTCCCCTGCAGAAAGGGGAATGGCTGATGCCCATAGGGCTCTTTCTAGGTATGCTTTCTAGCTGCAAACATAAACAGGGCCCCTTGTAGGTTAACATCTTGTACCACTGCCTGTTTTCAGCTGGTTTATGGAATAAGTACATACTAAGTTAAAACTGGCGAAGAGGTCTGCAGAGCTGGCAAACAAGAATAGAAACTGCAGAAGCAGGAAGCCTGTTAGAAGACTGATTACCAGCATGTGTCAAATATATAAGGCACTTCTAACATAGCATGTTCATCATAGGACTGTTGTGCACTGTAATCAAATACAAATATTGTTTTCAAGTACAGTTATGTTTATAGCTTCCTCAGTATTGGAGATGGCCCTGTACCTAGTGCACCAACACTTCAGAAGGACCAAGTTGGGTGGGACAGGGTGGGGCTGTTACATATGATGTTTTTCATGCAGAAACAGAGAACCTGATCTTTCAAATCATATGTGAAACCATTCTCCTCTCAAAAACATGTATAAAAACACTAAGACAAAGAGTTTAAGTGACACTTACGCGGCATGATCCCTTGGCTCACCAGCTCCTCCCGTGTGCGTCGCTGCTGGAGCTTCAACTGCAGCACTGCAGGACAGCAGAGAGAGGGAAAAGAAGGAAACCCATCAGTGCAAGAAACAACTGAAAAGACATCTTCAGGCACATCTTGTTTTCCTCTTTGGATGCCAAGGCAACAGCAAGCAGCCGTAATTAAGAGCCCACCTCCCAGCCCGCTCCCCTGCCCCACTGCAATTGCAGAAGTGGCTGTCAGCAGTCAGGTTTCCGTATTCTGCTGTGGGTAACAGAGAGGAAGTTGCACAGGGTCTTGGCAGGGTGATAAAAATCCACAAAGCCGGGCCTGTTTCTCAATTCTTTCTAGAGCACCAACTTCTTTCCAAACCATTAAGATGAGAAAACAAACAAAGAGAAACACTGGCTGACAGTGCTCCAATAAACCAGTGACACCCCAGCTGCTAATGCCTCCTGAAAACTCTAATTATCATGTGCAGATTAAATTGATATGACAAAATTATTGGTCATTACTTGAAATTACAAGGCTGATTTCCTTGCTCAACTCAGAATCATCTCATGAAAGTGAAATATCATGGATATATCCAGAAGCGCCCTTGTTCTGTAGCAAAAAGAATCCATCACCACTAGAATTTTTCCTATTTATTTTAGCATAACAGAACATACACATGACCTGTGTGAAATGCATTTTTTTTTTCTCTAATGCAAATCTCTGGAACAGTCATCATTTTAATATTCAGATTATAACAGCAGCTTCCCTTTAAACTATACAATCAAAGCAACATTCTAGAGATTGTTCTTACAGCCAAAGACAGTTTCCATATGCAAGGGACCTCTCAAAACTGAAGAAAAAAAACATCACATGAACGTGCAGACACACACAATTTAGGAGAACCGGAGTGAGCATCAATAGATACTGAATACCATTTGCAATCAAGCTCAAGCTCCTAAGTATTCTCAACATAAAATAAAATTAATGGCATGGCATCTTCCCTGTTTTCATTTCTCTTATGTCTGTGGTGCACTCAGCATAAGAGAAGTCCACACAAAAGTAGCAGAACCACCAGAGCACAAAACTGCTCTAACGTCTAACTACACAATCTCATTATAACCTTTATACTTCCTTTCTCAAGTACTTTGTTTGTCCTATACATTAATCTCATACATTATATCCAAACTTATACTGACACTCCCTAACATAGGGATCAAAGAAATTTAAGGAGAAGATGCCACTTTGTCTACTTACACACATCATCACGTTTTACCTGTTTCTTTCAACCTCCCATTTTCAGTTTGCATTTGACTACAATACATCTTTGAGTGAGGGTTCTGGTCTTCATATGAACTTAACAAGGGATCCATTCTCTTCCTTGGTTGTTTGCACAGCAGCTAACCACCCTAACTTAAATGCACACTCAAGTTCTCACTTGGATTTTTCTAGATTCCACTTCCATTGGCTCTTGATGTACTGCTTATGACAGAATATACTTCCTACCTGTGGAGGGACTTGCATGTGGCACAGTGTACAACCAAGTCACCTCTCTTCTCTTTCTTAAACCAAACTAACATTTCTTAATATATGCATCCTGGGCAGAAAACTACTGCCTTTAGTATGGGAAAAGGAGAGAGGGAGGGAGGGTGTGAAGAAAGCACCACGCTAATTCTGTGTGGGATCAGCTAAGAGCCAGAACGAGGAGGAGGGGAACACAGGGGAAGGAACAGGCCCTTTGTTTGGCCATGAAACTGCAAACAGAAGTGGCAGTCCCACACTCTTCCTCTCACCCAGCATGCGATCACACTCCTACTTCTGTGCAAGTGTGAGGGCTAATACAGTCTCATAGTTGGCCTGTTCACAGAGCTCTTTATTTGCTCGATTTGTTTGAGGTGATCAAAACCCTCATCAGGTGATGACACATCTACAAAAGCACTTGATCTAACAGCTTGCTGCAAGAGTCAAATCTCTCACTCACCACATCATCTCTCATGTTCCCTGACTGGTGGCTGGACTCAATGCCACAACAGACAGCACAGCCCAATCAAAACAGGGAATAGCTTTCTGTCTCATTAGTGAGTTGAAGAGGATGACTGTATGTATATCCAGGTATTTGTTAACACTAACATAAGGTGGGTGTGAGACATCATCCTTTCAGCAGCTGTATGCCACTAAGTGATTTCAGCCCTATTAGGTAACGGCACATTAAATCTCTGGCTGTATGGCATTATTTCCACTAGTGAGCCATTTCAGGGACTCATTTCCATACCCTAAATTAGCACATCTCGCTAAATTTATACAGGCAAGGCACAGACCTACAGCATCAGACCCATCTCCCCAGCTTTAAGTGGAGATAATGTCATCATTACTCTTACTTGTGTCTTCCCATTTACACATCTAGCAACAGATGTTAGCCCTTTTTGCCACTTTGCTATTTACTCACTAGGACCATCTATTTTCCCTTCCATTTCCAACTATACCAACTATTTACCTTTCACCTCACAGAGTCTGGGATTTTCAACTAAAAACTTGCTAACGCGGGTGTGACTGACATTTTTTGTTCCTTGGTACATAACTCTGCCCTCACATGTATTTATGCACATTTTGCCCAAACTGACAACAGTTTGCCTAAATTATCTAAACAATTTTCCATTTTTTAAATGTCATTATTTATGCCTCCACTAATTTTTGCTCCATTCACACTGTTACCATCTTGAATTTGTTTCCAAACTCCACTGGGCTGATCCCAACTAGAAACGCTTTTCTGCTTTCTTGGATTACAGTCAGTTCTTAATCCACTTGAGCAGTCCTTCATTAAATTCAAAGGTACTTTTTAAGCCCAAAATAAATATACCATGTTACGAAGTTGAAGATGTTATAAAGTGTTATAACACCCAGACAACACCTCTAGCAACCAACTTTCATGTATCCAAACAACAAAATCGCATTTGAGCAGACCTGTTTTCACAAACTGAAAAGCTGAATAGTCTGGTTATACTGCTATTCTTATGCCATCTAAATTATTTATCAAAATTTCCATAGTATTTTTCCTGGAACTGATACCAGATGAGCCACTCTTTACTCACATGCCCTTTTTCAGTAGTGATGCAAAACACTGCTGGTCTTCAGCTCTTCTGAAGTCTCTCCCAGCTGCTCTCAGATTTATCAGAAATCAGTCTCAGCCAGACTAGCAGCTAGAGACTTCATCAAATGACTTTAAATTCCCTTCCTGACTTCAGCTTCCCTTATGAATTTTCTAAATATATCTTATTTCTATATCAGTTACCATTTACTACCTTTTTTTCTCTAGCCATAATATGCACCTTTTATTTTTAAACACCATGTCTCTTCACAGCAAGAAACCAGCAACTGTCCAGAGAACTAAGCTGGAGAATAGGAAAAAGGTTATTTTCAGGATACTTTTAATTAGTAGTAAGTAATTCCTGGGATTTCTGAATACATGTACAAACATATTAAGCACAAATTATAATCAGCACAGGATGCACTTTTTTTCCCATACAGCTTACTTTTGTGGCAGAGAAGAAGGCAACAAGGATTACCTCAGTTCACTCCTGAATTCATTTTGGCTTAAATAAGTACTTAGAGTTCCCAATGCCATTTCATATATTTAGGAGATCACCTGTTTACATGTGCAAGTGTGTGAATCCTATATATAGATTAACAGATGTCCCAAGCGCCAATCCAAGGCTGCTGTACATGGAGCTCAGCCAAGGTCTAGAATGACCAGAGAAATTCAAAGTTACTCAGACTGGAGTGCCTTTCAGTCACAGACCAACAATTTTCTTCTCCTTTCTCCCTGTATTTGACCTTAAAAATAATTTTCAAATTAAGAATAAATCAGGTCACACAAAGGAGAGTATATGCCTGCAGGCTTGAAAGTAAGTTCCATACTGGTACCCTTCTATTCACCTCTTTCATTCAACTTATGACACAGTCTGTGTAACATTCTGAGGGCTTTGTATGCCTGTCTGATTTTCCTACTTGAAATTGAGCATTATTTATTTCACAAATAAGAAAAATTCTGAAATACAAAGTTTGAACAACATTTTTGTATCTCTAATAAACTGTTCCAAGAATTAATAAAATATTCCAGAGAAATGTGGGAGCTGGTATAAAGGGCTGCAGTCAGCAGTTTAAGAGGAGGGGTAGAGAACTGAAGAGGGGCAGTGCTCTAAGAGACAAATAACATCAAGGTACAGCTACTATCAACAGAGTTACACTGGCAGTGAGCTACAGCAAGTCATGATTTTTTTTTTTTTCCTCTTGTCATAAAACTGCCTTAATAGAGAGACCATAGATCTATTCCAAGACCAGAGCTTACTTCTGCCTACTAATGGCTGGTGGCAGCTCACAGCAGTATATGCTTAATACATACAGAGGCTGCATGCATATGAATGCTTTCAGGACACTTAACTCTAGTCATAGTCCAGGGGTGCAGCAGTAGTAGGCAGTAGCAAGAACAAATATTTACAATGAGCTAAGTTGTTTTTTGCAGCTCGTCATCTAAATCTGCATTGGCATGCCTGCCCTTCCACATACATCTCTGAAAGCCCTTCTATTTCTAAACCACACTTGGAGTTCAACAGTGTGACTAGACCTACTACAAAAAACCTAGACTACAGCCTCTGCATCTCAGCACTTTAAGAGAAAACAAAATACAATCTCATTTTATGACTATGTCACATACCAGGACAGGTTTATGACCAAAAAAAAATTCTTAAATATTCTGCATTTGTTTCTTGAAAGCTCATGAAAAGAAGCAAACAGCTTTGAACTGCAGCCTGTGCTGAGGCTCTACGCATGTCATATTGAATACAGACTTACTGCCAAAGGGACTCTGCTCACATCTCTACAAAACCTTTTTTTCTCAGGAATCCCAAGTGCTACTCAAGGTTGTCCAACCAAAGTAATGATTAAGCACAGCCATATGGTGGATTACAACAGAGACAGCACAAGCAGCAGTGCAGAACAGGAAGGGAGGAAGGCTGTTGTAGCCAAATGAAACCCTATAGAGGAGCTGAGGGAGGCAGAACTCCCTGGAATC